CCTAAACTATATTACACGCAGTCGAGTTACCAAGCGCAATGTCAAAATTGAACGAATGCTTCCGAAATCGATATTGGCATTGATTGCTTCCTATTGGTGTATTTCAACTTTGTATTTTAGTTGATAATTCGCCTTAAAAGTTCTTTTCTGCATTGCTTATGAGCAATAGGTTTGTAAACAACGAAACGTTTTATTTTTTCATAGACAGATCTGAAATAGTGCTTTTATGTATAAATGATATCATCAATAACACTTGTCACGTAAATATTATACTGTCTCATAGTTACCACATTGCACAAGAGAATCTAAGTGGAAAATCTTTGATAAGAAATACCCTACAATAAAGTTCTACAATAAGGATTATCCACGAAAACAAAGATATCGTCTAAATCGAAACTTAAAATCCACGAGTAGACAGACAACCTGAATTTACTTGACAACTTTTGATAAAAATATAACTTTGATTTTCTAATTGAAGTGATATCAATCGAGATTCAAATATGCCAAGATACTTTTTTATAAAAAGTTATTACGTATATTTACATATTACGAGAGAACGCAACGTTGGCCTTAATCACCAAGATCCGAACTGTTTATTTTTTTGTCACATTAGATTTATAGTATTTTTTTGTTATTTGTGATGAATCTGAAATTGGATTTGTAATTTAACAAAATTTTAGAGTAATGAAGGACTACTTTCCAATAGTTGTTTCTGAAACAGTTAATACTAATCTTCAAAAAATACTATACCTGATATAAATGTGGTTTTATTACGATTCTAATTTCTTTCAGCAACAATTCACTATACTGCACAGTATTTACTTAACCACAGTCATCAAACAGACACACCCGTCTCTTGGACGGACAAATAGTGTCTAATTTGAAACCTTTTTGAACTTATTTTTGAGAACGAAATTTATGCGTCGACTTAGAGATGTCGAATAGTTTCAAAATGGAAATCCAAGATGATGAGTTGAACGTTTTTTGGGAATATAAAATTGAAAATATGATATGAAGTTTCAAAATCATGCAAATCTGATATGTGACAAAAATATACACCATCTTGTAAAATAATTGCTATAAGAAGACATAATAGAGGATAAACCGCTATGACATTCAACTAGTGGCAAGCATTCAGCATTTTGGAAATGGGCACTTCTTCCCGCGACTCAACTTATATAATCAATCCACATCTATATAATCTATCCACATATAAGACATCGGTATCGCTGTTTGCCAATTCCCTTTGTATTTCCAGCTCTATGCTAGAGATTGTTGATTTTCCACAAAAAAAAATATCTCCTTTCTATCCCAACCCCGGTAATTAGTATTTTAGAGACAATCATATGGCATCATCGAAATGTGTATCCCGAAGACAGAAACCAGGCACAGAACATTACTCTCTAGAAAACTTATTTTCTAACCACATCGATTTCGGCCACAGACAAGACAAATCTAGGTCCATTCAACATTACTAAAGGCCTACATCTTACTAAACACCACATTTAAGCAAATTAATGCTTTTTCAATGTAATTGGCTTAAAAAGCCTCTTCTAGATCAATCATTCAATTAAACCGAGAAAGATCAGAACTGTGTAACATCGTGAATGTCAACTGCATAATCTCTGAATATGAACAAATTCCCATTCTATGTATTATTACGTACAGAAATGCAAATATATAAGCAAGAAAAATTCTAGTGGCTCTGACTGAATAAATACTGCTCATCAAATAAGTAGGTGTATATTGCCTTTTACAATAACGCAACTTGGTGTGTGACTTATTGAGGCTGTTCCTGCACTTATACAATACGCACTCAAAAGCAGAAAGTATATTTGTTCTCAGGGGACGTGACTGACGCAAGGCTTATGCAGAATATGCAGCGATCAATCAAGTTAGTTTCAACTCGGTGGCTCCGTATCGATTGCTAGAATTACCAGATTCGAATACGTCAGCAAGTTTTGAACAACAGCGTCTAAAGATTATACATTCGGAAATATATTTGCATGTTTATACAACATAGGATTATATAATACAAAAAATCATTAGGCATAAATACCTCTCTCAAATAATAAATAATATTTTATTCAGAACAGAAAATTATCTGACAAATTTGCATGTACGCATTGCTCCATCTTGTGCTCGTAGCTGATTGACTATGATAACCCAGTCATTGTTTTTGAGAATAAGAACAATTGAATATTCATTAGATCACATTAAAAGTCCTCGTGTGAGATATGAACACCTGAACTTGAAAACAAAATTCAAATGTTGCATTAAAATGTATATCATTCCTGTTCTTGCTAATAAAATTTGAGCAGTTTTAGAGTTTATGGACATCGTTAAATACTTGCAGTTTGTCTTCCACAACATGACAAAGACGCTTTCTGAATTATAAAAGCCTTTTCTTAAAGCATTAATTAATTGCAACAAGTTGTGCTCTTTTTATGAAAAAAAATACATCACGAACTCTTTTTGCAATTGATTTATCCGTATTGAATTCTATCCTTGCATCAATGAGTGACACAGAAGCATCACATCAATCTCACAATTTTGAACTACATAAATAAAGTATTCGAAGGTGAATTAATATGTGTTGATTGAACCTAAGGAATTATTACATTGTAAGCATCAATCATAACCTACTTAAAATAATTCAAAATTGAATTGAAAATGGGTCGTGTTTTGTAGATTTTGTCTGTTTTGTCTAATGTTGAATCATCTTCGTCAACGCAATGCAGCACCGACCAAATTGCGAGAAATCTGTCTCGGGACATGATTTCTGCAAATCCCGGTACATAGGTCATCCTAGCATCCTTTGTTTTCTAGTATTGTTCGTAGCGGTCTTTATACAAAAGCATTTCCATGGTGTCCGCAGAGCAAAAAAAGATTTCATTTCATCCAAGATTATGTTTTTCTTTGCGATTGATTTTTCAGCTTTTAGATCGCTGTTTTTCCTCAATACATAATGAGCGTGCTGATTAGTCTTCTTGACCAACGACTCCCAAAGATTCGCGTCCCATAATATATCCAAATATTCAATTGGAGTCGAATCAGCGTTTATTGATGTTGGTAAGATTTTCGGTCCAGGGATGATTGTTGGAGTAAACAGTCTATCAGTAAATCCGGTAGCATCATTTGTCTAGTCGACTGTCTTAAATTCCCATGCCAGTTCAATATTTCCTGATGACATGTTTGCATAATCCCTTGCAGGCATATTATTGGCCGGTTCATAAGACTGCACGTTCTCAGACGTTAACGTAAAAACATCATCTTCCATCAGACCGTCATCAAATTCCGATTCGAAATCGTCACTGTCAAATAGTTGGAATCGTTCAGATTTTCTTCTTCCGACAGATGAATACTATCCAATATTTCCTCGGGAAAAAGCTGTCGTTTAATGTCACATGAATGAAACGCAAAAAATGGTCCAGACCCACCCTAATCACAAGTTTTTAAGCACCTACGCTAATGAATAAATTTTGCTATATTGATGAAAAATAATCTTTTCCGAGCAGATAATGCGGATAGTAACCAATGTTTTATCCTCCATGCACTCTGAAATTAGACATCCACCTCATGCAAACGCATCAACGCAAGGAATGGCGGAAGAGAACACGTTCGAGAAAGCCTGGAAGAAAGTCAAAAGGCATTTCAGGAGAGCAACTCTCATACATACGGACTCGAATTTCCAATCTCTTCCCAATATCCTGATTTGTAGTTGAGAAGAATAGAAATGTAGGTAGTAGAGGTTAATAAAGAACTACTAAATCAGGTGCTTTAACTTTAAGAGAAGCAATTCTTCGGCAGGTATCAACCCACTCAGTAAGTTGTACATTACATTGACATGGCATATAGCTCACATGAAAACCATGGTAACAGAACATCTTCAGTTTTTGTCAAAAATACCCAAAACTTTGCAATATCATTGAGAATTACAAAACAGTTACGGCCAAATTCCTTTTATTTGAGGAAGCTGATATACATTAAATGCTAAGTCTCATAGTTATATATACGCAACTACCGGTAAGTTGTTTCGGCGGCTCCTTACATCAATTATGAATTTTCAACTACGAATACCAATGCGGTCCACCCTCTTTTAATCAGAAAACGGGTACCGGAGTCTGTGGTCAAACGGCCAAAAGCAGGGTCGTCCAACCCGAGGCCCGCGGGTCACATGTGGCCCGACGAACGTTTCCGAGTGGCCCGCGCGGTATTATTCGAAGCCCGATGTCTTCAAAAATCTGAGCCACTATTGAAACCTCTAATAAAAAAAATTATTCCTCGTCGTTCAAACGCACAAGAAGCACCACCCAGCTATCGAAAGCTTTTTCAAGTCGCTTTGCGTGCATTATTGCTGGAGAGAGATATTTGAATTTATTTTTATCGTCTGACATGTATTTCTGCAGTTTTTATGACCTTAATATTTGACAGCACGAGCAAGTTTTTTCACGGATGAACCATGTCAAATCCCCCGTGAGATTTCTAATTTCTGACAGTCATATGAAACATTCGCTTCGCATTGCTACATCGTCGATTGCACCGAATATTGACAAACTTGTTGGGTAGAAGCAGTGCGAAATTTCAGATTGAAATATCTATGTGTGATAAAAACTTTTGACTTTACTGTATCTTCGTATTTTCACTGTTCTTTTAATTTTGGTGTGAGGTTTTGTTTGTTTTTCATTAACCTGTAGTCAGTGTAGTGAAAACTAGAACATAACTACAAGTGGCCCGCGCAATCATTCGTAAACTACATGTGGCCCTTTGGCCTTGAAGGTCGGACAACCCTGTCCTAAAAATAAGGCGTACGTTTAGAAAGTTGTTCACTTATGTTCGAGTTTTTGTTGAATCTCAAATTTGAAAAAACTTTAACAAAAACAACAACACATCGTGATGAGACTAGAATCACAACCAAGAAAATTAGGTTATTAGTGATTATTACTGGGCAATCTGATGATTGTTGGCCGCCAGAATCCAAGTCGATAAAAACGGTTTGAAAAGCGCCGTGGTTTCTATTCTGTTTGTCTACGTTTGTTGGTCGGTCGTTGCATTCATTTGTTTCCTGGGTTTACTTTTGTTTGGTTAAAACTATTAGTTGAAGATGACTTTCGCGTTCTCTTTTCTGTAAGTACCATATATATGTTATATGCGGTTGATTTGTTTGATATGTTGCTACCTTCATTAAAAAATCTTGCAGAAACCTGAATCTGATGCGCCAAATTAAACTGGCTATGCACTGTAATATTGCCCTGTTAGTTTTGTAATTACGTCTTTACTCTAGTAGGTTTTTTAATCGGAAATTATTTTTTTAGTTTTTTCTTGGTGGTTTTGTGCAGCGTGAACAGAGGTGAGCTAGTTCGTAACTTGTTACCGCCGCTTCGATTAGAGGACTTAACTCAAGACTTCCTTTGCAGGTGATGGGGCAAACGCTCAAGGCTTCTCTTCACCGCCATATTGCTCTTCAAACCGAAATCCGTGTATGAACGGCGGTGTATGCGTCAATTATGGCGGTTCTTACAAATGCGGTTGCCCAAGTAACTGTGGAGGCGAACACTGCGAGTATTGTGATGGTATGTACTGCATGAAGTTGGGGGCTGTGAACAAATAAATATATGTTTTACCCATTGTGGTTTTCAGTTGTCAAGCCAAAAATTGGAGCTTGCTTTCCAAATCCATGCCAGCGGGATTGTCAATGTCACGAATCGTGCCAACACGCTGGCGGATATTACTGCAGGAGTGCTTCTGGTTATCTCGGCAAAAACTGCACCATTCGTAAGTAGCTGCCGATATGTAATTATGGCTACGAGACTTGTGTTACTCCCAGAAATCTTTACATTCTCAGCAATGCCTTCTCTCCGCTGCGAGACCAATCGCATCGTGTTCTCTGTATCTGAAAGTTTCGTCCGGGAATACGACCTTGGACTGAGAAACAGCTTCGTAAATATTGTCAGAAATCTTGGCGGCACCAATGGATGTGAAGGTAGTTTTCGTTTCGGTTTATCAACGCGGATTACCTCCGATTTCTAAAATCGTGTTTTCTTGCATTTCAGTCGCGGCCGCTGTCAATGAGTTTTACGAGATTCAAATCCCAATTCCATTTAGTACATGTGGCACCGAGATGACATCAGTAGGTGGACAGGTTGTGTTCACTAATCAAATGTGGTTTAATCGTCGCCTTGCGAATTCCATGTTTGATATGCCTATTCCTGTTGCTGAATTTCAGTGTAGATACGAACGGCAATATAGAGTAGTGACTTCTCTTCGACCAGTGTAAGTAAGTCTTTTGTTTAAAACTTCACACAGTATTATAACTGAAAGTCTGTAATTTTTCCAGCGTGAGCACACCAGCTGTGATAACCGGACGCCAATTGATCACGCCCAGCATCTCGTTGTGTAAAGTGCTCGCGTGTCCGAGCACTTGTCCTACGAATTTTGCTGTTAGCGGAGGGGCGGTCTACACTGTGGGAGAAATGATGCATGTTTCAATGTCACTAGATGTAAGTAATCTTCCTAGTTCATAAAATGGTAGTATAAAAAGGAATGTAATAAATATTTTGTTTTGCAGTCCGGTAACCAGGTAACTGGTATTGATGAAATGTATTTGTCCTGCAGCCCTGTGCCATCCACGGCCAATGTTGTTGGAATAGTTCAAGCTGGGTGTGGAACCACAGCTGGTCTTCCATGTGAAATCGCCACCAGTGCTGTTGGTCATACTGTCTGTGTATCGTTTCAGACTCCCAGGAGCATGTCATGTCAGGAGTTTTATATCCACGCAAAGTTGGTTTCTTGTGACAGAGGAAGTGTGGGCGTAAGTTTTAGTTTGTTTCGCTTTGTAGGTATCTAGCTTCAAAAAGCTTTAATGGTTGTTCGTGATTTTCAGACTTGTTCGGATAATGCCAGTGTCAACAGATGCCTCGTATCGCGTAAGCGAAGAAGTGTTGACTCTGCTCCCATTGCACTCGGGCCAATTGTTTTGATAAATGGTTCGATTGGAATACCCAACGTCCGCCTCAACGGCATGGACGAAGGCGTCAGCGTATTGGAAATTCCCGATGAGAAAATTGCGCTTGTCCTGCAGAATGTTAAAGAGACTCCGAAAGAAGTGAAAGCACCGTCTGATCTGCCTTCAGGTAAATATCAACGTCAGCGCAATACCGAAACCCATAATACCTGAAACTTCGCTGCACCGTTTGTATCATTTAACTGCATTTAATCATTTAACTGCATTTAATCATTTCAGGGATGGATCAGCTGACTCTGCTTATGATCATCGCTGGAAGTATTCTCATCGTGGTTGTCGTTTCGTTAGTATTTGTTTTGCACCGTAATCGTTCTGTTACTTTGACAACCAACAAATTATAATATTGATTACAATAAATTTGAAACATATTTGATAAGTGTTTTCGTTCCTTATATAGGTCTGTTTACAACTGCGGCCCGTTGGGCCCGACCCGCCGGGCAAGTGCCAATTTTGAAGGGTGTGCACGCCCGCGTTTTAGTTTAGTTGATTAATCTGGTACGTCAGCAAACGTGTGCCACTGTCATGTTATCGAAACTAGCTGACAAGTAAATAATGTTGTGTGTAAAAACGCGATACGCGTTAGTTTTTTTTCTTTATAAATAAAGTAAGATTAATAACAAAGGTGCGGCCCGCGCACCCCATTCCATATCTCTCTTTATAATCTACACCACCAGGCAGTAATTGCTTCTGCTATATCATTAGTCGGTGAGGTCGGGATTTTCGCCATCTAATCTCGGGATGAGTAAAATTAAAAAACACACAACTCTCATGTTTCTTATGCAAAAACATGACATTTTAGTGGTAAGAAAGTATATATATATTGGCTGTTTGTTCGGTGGACGACATGTAACAACAGCAACGCCGACTGTCCAATCCCCCACGTCTTTGTTAGACACTTTGACGAGACAATCTTTTTATTATCAGATTCCAACTTTTAGTGCGTCATACAACTTTTCTAACCTCTACCTGCTTATCTTATATAGCAGCATTTCTTTCTCAGCCACCGTTCGTAATCGATAATACACCTTAGTTCCTTCACATTTTCATCGCGTGCAAGAAGCATGAAGCGCTTGCGCCAACGTCATTTGGCGTCTCTGTCGTGGCTGCTATCTTATTTTTTGGGGCTCCCGAAGTATGCGAACCAAGATGGCGGACATCGAAATGTAATATGTGTACTAGGTTAGGGTTAGGCCATAATTTTAGGTATAAATACTACGGAAGGCTCTTGGCTAGTCTTCGAACTGATAATAGAACTAAAATGAGGAAAATTGGAAAAAAATTATCGCCTAACCCTAACCTGTTACCCATGTTACGTTCCGATGTCCGCCATCTTGGTTCGCATACTTCGGGAGCACCTATTTTTTTAATTTTCAGCTCTTTTATTGGGGTCTAGATCGGATTCTTCAGTACAGAACAATATTTGAAGGATATTTGTCGCCAAGTCAGTAATTTTTTTGACGAGTCAATTTACGAAATGCGCAGTAAAACCGTTTTAGAAAACACCACATCACGTATTCAATTCCTGAATTATATTTAAAATAAACTCGAGATCGGAGAAATAGTCTCCCGAGATAAGATAAGTTCATTTCGACTTCACAATTGCAACACTATTGAGCATCTGGCCCAGTAACCAAGTCTGTTACCTGTATCCGGCCCACGCAGAAAGTAATTGCCTACTTCTGCGCTAATGAGATGAATAAATCCATTGTCACATAAACAAAACAAGTTTCGTGATAATTCTGATTTTTCGAGAATGCGCAACACCCTACGGGATTCCCCTGGGTGGGATTGTTTGAGAATCACTGGCCTGAACGACAAATTGCCGGGTACAGGTTCGTTTCGTTGAAGCTTAATGTATATTACCCGATCAGTAATTATTTTTTCACCATACAGAAAATACTTTATGCCAGTGGTTCTTAAAGTATGGGTCGCGACCCAAACATGGGTCGCGGAAGGTTTAAAAATGGGTCGCGACAAGGTCGTCAATGCAAGGGCAATCTAAGAGGAGAAGGAAGAATTTTCAGCTTTCCCAATGTTTCAGTTTAGCTTCTAAACTCTGGTATTTAAGAATAATGAAATATAAAATTTCATTCACGGAAAGAACTGTCTTGAGGTCATTGTTACATCACAATTCTGATATGCCAGTCACGTGTATTATTTTTATGGTATCGGTAACCATGCACGTCGCTTGTCGTTGTGTTGACCGCGTGGAATGTCGTCGTAGTGGATTAAAATAACCAAAAATGGGTGTCTTTTTGGTAATGTAAATTGTAATAGACGACGCAATGAAAAAGCTCGCTTCTCGACATTAGATTATTCAATATCTAGAGAAAATGTGACTTCATCTCGAGGCACCATTTACCGCGAACGAAGCAGTGTGTGCACATTTGATGAGTAAAAAGTTGTATATTGCGAGAGATACCGAAGGCCAGCTAGGATGTCGTGTTTGCGACGGACAGCGGACGCCTTTTCTGCTACAATTCGCGACAAGGCACTTGTGCGAGCGAGGATATTTGGCACTGACGGTTATCAAAACTAAGCTCGCAATCGCCTCGATACCCGTGACAACTTGCGTATTGCGTTAATTAAGTAAAATAGAGCTGTGTATTGAAGATATAATGAAAAGGAAATTTCAGTTTCATCAATCTCACTGAGTCAATGGACTGTTTCTAATAAATAGTTGTCTGTATTTGAGTCAAACTGTACTAACATTAAAAACACATTTTGCGTTATTTAGGATTGGGTCGCGAGTATTCATAAAACTCAGATTTGGGTCGCGCTCGAAAAAGTTTAAGAACCACTGCTTTATGCGAACAATAGGATGAAGAAACTTGAATACGGCATTTCAGGGTAAAAGGTGGCGCGAGAAACAATACTGGTTAACGAGCAGCGACATCCATGATAAAGTCTAACAGTAGTTAATATAATGGAGAGAAAAGCGTCAAACATTATATCTTGAAAAAAAGATTACAGCAGAACAAAAAACGAACCCGATAAATACAAAAATGACTCCGAGCGATCCTAAATAACAGCCTCAGGCGACAGCCAGAGCATAAGCGCCGTTCGGGACAAAACCAGGCAGTGCGAAAATCTGCTATTACAACTACAATTACTTCTGGGGAAAAAGTTCCAGGCATACTCACATGATGACTTAACATAATGTATTAAGGATTACATACATATTACATACAAGGATTGGCATATATCGGTTTAAACATTTCATTACGAAATTCAAAGTCACTTTCATGGATTCCAACATAATATGGCTCATCACAAAGCATACAACAAAATTATTGTGGAGTTCCTTGTAGGTAAATGCATGCACGGTTCATCAAGGCATACAACAAAATTATTGTGGAGTTCCTTGTAGATAAATGGATGCACGGTTCATCAAGGCATACAACAAAATTACTGTGGAGTTCCTTGTAGATAAATGCATGCATGGTTCATCAAGAGGCACTGGCATGCCCACCACATTTTTTGGATCTGGATTTGTAGACAGCAACCATGAACATTGTTGTTGCTGACAAATTTAGTTGGTAAGATGAAGACTTTCTATACAATTGCAATTGGCTACTGTTTTATTGTTAAATAAGGAAAATGCACAATATTCATGCAAGCTCTCTTAGTTATTGTAAAAAGACATCAGAAAAATAAAAAACACAAAATAATACTTGAATTAAATAATTAAATAGAAACCCAATATAAAATACCAACGTATGCCCTTTGCCTCACATTGAACCTGAGAAAATTGCCATCTCGTCCAGGAAATATTCAAGAATTATGAAAAAAAAAAAATAACTGAAAACCCAATTCAAAAACTTGTCATGTAAATTGCAATGAGAGATGAGTCATAGATCTCGAAAGACAAATTCCATCGAAAAAAGTAACTAAACAGAGAAACAATTCTTAATAGAGCAAACAACTCTAAACAGCTGGTAAAATATGAAATATTATACATTAAAAGGCACATAATCTGAAAAATGTAAGAGTAACAATATTAAAATAAAATTAGAAATAAGAATCATGGGTAAAAGGTTAATAAAAGTGCCTATAATACACTAATTTTTATACTGTTGCAGGAACATTCAACCTTATTCAATTTATTACTTCAATCAGATTCAGAATAGTGCGTCCATAAAACATAACAAATGCTGTGGAATATATATGATGATGAAAGGTGTCCAGGTACCAGTAATTTAATATCGTGATGTGGATTGAGATTTTATTTAATGGATAATACTATTAAAGAAAACAAAAACAAATCAATTAAACATTTAAACATGTTCATATCAACTATTCAGAAATTATTATTTGCAAACAAATTGAGGGCTTTGGTGAATTTATTTCGAATAAAAATTGAAGACGTTCATTATACAATTTATTATATTGGCAAGAAATGGATTCAATAACATTTGAAAAATCTGGTAGCAATGTGTATCTATATTAAATAATGAACAGTGCAAATACTAAAGCAGCAAGTCTAATCAATTCATTCAAAATATGAAAACATGTCTAAACAACACAATAGACATTTCAATAAACTACATAAAAACTAAATCGAAATATAAAATATGTCAGGCACATATCCCCTTTCCCACAGACAAGTACGAAGTTTTTAAAACAAAATTCGGAACCAGACATAGATAGTGCGAATGATGATAAAAATGCTAACATGACAATAGCAGCAAAAATAACAACAATAAAACTCATAATATGAAAGAAACATATTCAGAAACAGGGTCTTAGTCGGTCCATGTAAAATCTTTCGGGCTTTCAATGTAACAATCGGACCTTTGGACTATAAGATTCCCATACCTAAAAAGAAAAGACAGACGAACAGAATGTTTGAGGTAAAAATATGTTTCCTCAAGTGCATTTTACGTTATACAATATTTAGAAAATTGCTATAAAATATCAAATCAAAAACCACTATTTTTGGCATGGGCAAAATAAAACTTATTTTTGATCATTGATTTAAAACTAAAACAGCTGCTGTTTGATGCCACATTCTTTGGATTCCAAATCACGCTGGTCTAATCTGAAGCTGGCAATTGTCACTATTATATTAAGCCAACAAAGGGTCTTCATCATCTTCAGTTCTGTTGTTGTCATTTAATCCACGATTCTTGCAAGGTGGATTATAATGAAGTATTTGCATGAGCAGCTGAATATGGTTTAATTAAGGAAAATGAATTGTTATGAAATGGATGGTTCTGCGTCATCAACAGCAAACCATTCCTCAAAAAGTGTAACCAGATATATTTATAAATATATTTCAGTTTTCTAAAACATGGAGTACAAGAAAATGAAAACAGCTATTTAAGGGTTAGGAAAAGTTTCAATTTTAAATGATACCAAAGATAAGCATAACATGTACCAATTTTCATCAGTAGTTTTATTATAAAAAGGATACAGTGAAATCCAGTGACATTGTTCCCAGTGATCCAATCAACCATGGTAGGTGAAGCAAAATAAATTGAGTATAAGTTTTACCAGGATCTGGATCTTGCAGTAATATCTAAAATTAAACTAAGATATTTGACTATATATAATACAACTACCAGTATATATATATATACTTTTAAGAAAAGGGTGAAATAAAATGTCAACAAACTTTAGTAGGGTCATGGTATGATGGTAGTATCAATTAAATATACTTTATATGATTAATTTGATTATATTATGACAATTAATTTCATGTTTAGTAACAGGAAGAATGATTGTTGGACCGCCTGATCTGTTTTAAAGAATGTGTTTACACTCTTAATCATGAGCAAATACTAGTAAAATTATTTGCATTTCAAACTTAAATACTAGTAAATTACAGCTATCTTTCAGGTAATATAATTTTTAAGTATATATGCATTATGCATATATGGTATGATATCCAAACAGACTGTCAGAAAGCATTATAATGAGATTTGTTTGATCATTTAAATTTGATAAACATTATAAAATTTTACAACATGCAATGCAATTGTATGCACAAGACATACATATTTCTAAAACAGAAACTATTGAAGCAAGGATAAATCAATAAACTTGCGCAATCGTTTAATCAGACAAAGCTAACATATACACAGAGCCAACAATCATATGATAGACAAAGGTGCATAGGAAAGTCACATGATTATTCGGAAATCTTCATTCTGTTTAATACTGATGACTCAGCTGCATGTGTCAATATGAAATGTTAAAATAACTTGGCGTCTGATTGCATCATATGCAAGAGGCTTTATTTCATTTCCCAGTGAAGGTATATTGATCATCAAATTTCAACACAAGCCAGGCAAACAACACTCCTAATTTGCTATATAACAAACAAACAAATAAAAAAGCATTCACAATATCCTGAAGTGTGTGTACCAATATGGAGGTAACTAATTTTGTTTGCCTACTCTACATCAAGTTGTGTAAAGAGACTGAAACCTATGGGCAGGGGAGTATATTCACTTGACTAATAGGATAGGATAGGATTTACATATTTATCCCGGGGGAGAGGAAAGCCGATAAGATGGCTTATCCATATGGCGAACCACGGCCTCTCGTCCGGTTACCATTCCAAGTCGGGTATGGGATTAGTTTTACTGTATTGTTTGTTTTTCGGAAGCATGGACTTGGTCGTGGAGGAAGCCGTAACCGACCAGCGGTTACATGAACCACCCGACGACGGCGATACAGACAGTCCCCAAACTCGTAATAGAACTAAAATAGGAAAATCGGAATAAAACGATGGCCTAACCCCAACCTGGTACACACACTACGGGAGTACCGAATTACTCACTGAAGTCCCATAAAGCGCATTTCCAGCAACTGCTAATATAAATAGATGAATTGACACTCCATCAGTCTGCTTCCTTTTAAACTAAAAAAAGTAAAAAATAGGAATCAAATTCATGAACATGAGTGACAAAAAATAATACATAAACAAGCTGTAATTCAATATAATAAATTGTTTGATAAGCTTCTATACTGATTTGAGATTTTAGCAAATCTTTTTTTACACAATAAATAGTAGGCCTGATAAAATCTTAATCATAAGGCTATCACATTTACAAGCATGAAAAGAATTTTCAAATACATAAATGGTAATGTGAAAGCAATTGGGTGACTTAATTAGCAAAAGCCAGAGGAAGCGAAAAAACAAGTAAAAAGCACTAGTACAAATATATAAAATTTGAACATTTAAAGATATCGAATTCTCAATGAAAATTTTAATAATTCCAATGCCCAGACTGCAAGGTCTTGTAAAATCGAATCATATTGTTGTATAGAATTCATCTTGTACCAATGCTACTCACATTTTTTCTTATTTGAGGTAATCGTGATGCAAGATAGAACAGAGATGAAATACATCCAATAGCATAACCTATCACATCTTCTGTGTCCTAAACAAATATAAAACAGACAATATTTCCCATTAGTGACAATGGAAAATTCTGAATGCAATCTAATTCTTGGTACAAGCATTTGAACATAGTTTGTCAAACTTTGATACTAGAAACAATTTTACCATGCTATGCACCTGAGTACAAATGCTTAATGGTAATGGCAATGCTCGCAATGATATGATCAGACATTGTTCATATCATGTTTTTTGTGAATAATAATAAGACTAATAATTATAAAAGTTAATCATTTATACCGTGGGTAGCAAGGGCCCACCATGCTCTACATCACCGGTGCTAAGTAATGTTCTTCCAATTTTTTGATGTTCGAAATCAGAAACTAGTTGAGATTCAGAGTTACGTCGCAGAAATGATAAAGGAACAACTGCTAAAAAAAAGGCACACACAACAATGTTCTTAGTACGTGTATTCCCATTGACCAGTATATCATTTATCACGCCATTTCTCTCTGAAAAATAAGAAAAAATAAATATTTATATTCGAGTAGATTTATTGAACATGGGCACTAAATTTTAAATGTCAATGGAAAAACATACCTAGTTTAGCCTGCCGTCGATTTTTAGATCTGTAGTACAAATACTGCAATATCATCACAATGTCCATAAAAACATAATATATTGCTGTAACAATTTGAATTGCAAGTTGCCCAGTGAGTAAACAACCAATCTAAACAAGAAATAGCAAATTTACAATTGTAAGTTAATATTTGCAGAATAATGCATGAAAATATTTGTCAAAGATTGTACATACAACATGTTTAACAAGCTGATAGTAATTACAATGTTTAATTAGGATACATACAGCTTACGATACATCTATTTCACAGAGATATCAAAAATCCGAATGCAAAAACAAATTATGAGTATTATTTTCATTTAGTTTTAAATTTAAGGCTTGCCTGAAACAATTATTCAAAAAATAAAAAAAACTTAATTGCATGGTTGTAATTTTATACCAATTTGACCAAATCAAATGGATTTGAAAAAGAGACTTTTGCCAATAGCAAGGATTTGAAAAACAGATATAAGATAACAAATCTATAGATTTATTCACCAAGTTGCTGCTGTCTCCAAATAACCAGAACATAAGAAATAAAAACGATATTGCTTCCTCAACATGCTTCTTGCGGTAGTTTTCAATAAGTTGCCTGAAATATAAAAATCATCATCGTAATTCGTAACAGTGAAAATATAACTGATATTGAGAAATGTGACAAAATGATAAATAGATACCAGTAAGGCAGTAACGGATGAATAATCATATTCAGATATTATTATTATATAAACAACAAAGAAATAAATATAAAGTTAGACAAGAATTATTTGGTGGCCATAACTTTTTGGATCTGACATTAATCGTGCACAAGTTTGAAGGTAGACAAAGCCTCAAATCCAAACTGCCAAATGTCTGAATGTGTTGTCTAAAAATCCAGTAATCCTTGTCAGCTGACAGCATTAAATATAAAAATAGTGAAATGCATGAATTTGTCTAACTAGCCTTCATATTAGACTTAATTCATTTCAATAAAACAATCTTTCCAAAAATACAAATTTTGATTTTATTAATCAAGATCTAAAGATTGAGTAGATTAAAATGGCTAAAAACGAATACTCACGGAACTGACGCACAAACCCAGCAACATATTGATACTAATCCTAATATAAACCCAACTTCTTCCTTTGGCGTATCTACACACTCGTGGAAAACGTTGAATATCCATTCTACAGTTTGGTTGCTCTCGCAAGTCAAGTTGGTAGAATTTTTATTCGATACGCCACAATTCGAGCAAACATCAAATACTAATGGATACATTTTTCATTACACTATGCAGTTGTTTAACCTGGTAATATTAATATTATTATCTCAAAACACAACACGACAAAGAACAGCAGGAAAGACCATAAACATAAACAGTACGTTCAACGTCAGGACGTTCGGCTGGAGAGGCAGTCAATATTTGTAAACAAAGGGAAATCACGTGATGATTGATAATCGCCTCGCGGTTTTTGTGGGACTGCAAGGATGCCGGAACATAAGATAAGTTAATTTCGACTCTATAGTCATCATAAAAGGCGATAAAATGATTGATAAAAACAAATAAATAAAAACTGATTATGAAATCAGGAGAGTAAACAAAACCTTGGATGAAGTTTAAAACCTACGAAATATAAGATGGAAGGTGTTACCAAAAAGAAGTGGTACGTGGTTGCGTGATTCTTGTATTATTAATGTAAAAATCTGTTTCTCTATTCTATTTTAATTACTTGGCAGAAAGCTATATATTCAGCAATGCGTTTTGTGTTAATCAGACTAGATTTGATCTAATTGTGTGTACATTGTATTTCTGTATATATTGTCGGAATTGTAATAAACTCATAAGGTATTTTCAAACGCCTCCTTACTACGGCCGAAGGCTATCGACAGATAGACAGTTTGAGTTAACGAACGCAAGACAAAATTCTTGTCAGTCAATGCTGGTGTTACAATACACAAACCAGACCAATCTACAAACAATCTATGTGTAGTGATAACAAATCACTATATTTGGTGATCCCGACGTGATATGAACACGCAACCTTCTGATATACATATAAAGTCATATTTGTATAGCTAGAAGCTAAAACCGACTTGAATTAACCTTCTGAAACGGACCAGATCAACGGACAACAACCAGGCAACAATTGGACGGAATCAACCAAAAAGCTGACCAAGCAGAAGATACGTTTCTTTTCCATCATATATACTTGTAAGTCGTTAACTGGGGCCCTTGCTGATCTAATATCTCTGTTTTCTTTCAGCAGCTTTCAACAATTGCCGAGAAACTGTCTCTACAAAACGTGCGAACTTACGAACGTCGGGGAGATTCAAATTGCCTGGAACAACGATTGAAGTAGCAAATTGCTATCAAGCCGAAATAATCAAAAACATTATGAAAAGACAATAATCTCAATTGAAAACAGTTGAACTATGGTAACGGACTCTGGAAACGTTAAAATCATGAATATGGACTGTATTGAACATCGATCGAAGTGAACTCTTTTAGAACATGATATAAGTTCGAGGTGAAAAACCTAATCAAAAACGAACTGTTGAAAACAATGAACTATATGGACTGTTTTACGGTAAATTACGCGCTCTATTCCGAATAATAGAGAGAGGAATTTTCGCGCATACCTAATGGATATACAGATCACGAGCATGTTATTCTACAATTTGTTTCATGATATGCAGGTTTTTCTTCTCATTGGGACAGACATTTTTCATTATTCCACTAATACTAAGGTATAGTACTTCTTTTTCTTCTTATATATACATGGCGTTTCATTCGGCTTTCAATTTTTATAAATTAATTAATGGTAACAACTTTGAATATTCTAATTTCAAATATCTTTCAAGTAGGGCTGGGCATTTTCGAATACCTTGTGATTTCAGAATCGAATCGAATAATATTTTTCGAATCGAATCTCGAATACTTGAAAATATATAATTGTAAGCGATTTTATTATAGTAATTGGCAGTGGCGGCGCGTCAATAGGGCCAATTTCGGTATAATACAAAAAAATATTCGAAAAATACCTCAATATCGGTTGCACAGACTGTCTACACTAGCCATATTCTCCCGACATGGTTCATTTTTCGCTCGCAAAGCTAACGTCGACGGGGCGACGCCGATTTTGCCCCGGTTGCTCATTGTATATCGTATTTTCTCTTTTATCTTCCACTCGCCGCGTTTGTCTCGTTTGTTTTCTGTTTCTTTTACTAAATCATCGGGGCTAGCCCCGAATTTATGACGACACAATGCCGACGTTTCTTACAACAACGTGTTGACATATTCACGCATTCCTTCTCGTTCGTTGGTTGCTTGAAGAGTTGATAGTTTCCTCGCCTTCGTTTTTGTCGCTTGTTTCGCTATTTGAATCAGTTAGAGACATTTAGTCCATTTGCTTTCGATTTTCCACATTCCTTTTGAGCTCCTCACTTCTTTCCGGCTTCGCATTTCTTAGCCTTAGACCTCATAATGAATAAGGTTGATGCACTACTTCGTACTCCGTTTTCGCAGCTGCCGCTGGAACAAAAATTAGAGGTGCAGCGTCTTGGGCCTTATCAACCAAAAAATTGATCACTGGAACAATCCCATGACGGAGGAGAGCGTCGGCGTACATTCTGCGCAGAAACTTGGTATAAAAAACACGAATGGTTGTGTTACAGCGAGGACAAAAATGCACTTTTTTGTTTTTATTGCCTACTTTTTGCTACCGCCCGTGACTCACGTTGGTGTAAATTTGGTTTTAGAGATCTTAAACATCTTTCCGAGCGTGCCAGGGATCATCAATCTTCTATGGAGCATCTGTACAATGCAGTAAAATACTGAACATTCGGAAATGTTAATATTGCAGCACAGTTGGATGAAGGACGCGCGGTTTCTATTCGTCGGCACAACCAAAACGTCGAGAAAAACCGCCATGTTCTCGGTCGATTGATAGATGTTTTGAAGTTCATTGGTTGTCACGAGCTGTCCCTCCGTGGGCACGATGAACGGGCTGGCTCTTCTAATGGAGGGTATTTTTGGATATGGTGGAATACACCGCATCCCTAGATACAGTATTGAGAGATCATCTTGATGCCGCAACTGTTTCGAAAGGGACATCTAAGGATATCCAAAATGATTTGCTCGACTCAATGTATAAAATTTATTTACAGCATTTGGCTCTGGAAATTGAGAATTGCCAGTTCCTTTCGATTCAGTCTGACGAGACAACTGACATCACATGCGTTTCCCAACTGGCTGTGATTTTTCGGTTTGTGAAAGATGGTAAACCTACCGAGAGATTTCACAGCTTTGTACCAATCGTTGATCGCACGGCTTGCGGGATATCGGCTGTGTGGGATAAGTACGCGTAGGGTACGGTACCTAATGTGTCCCACTGCGACTCCAAGATACGGGGTAACTGGAGACGCGTCCTGTCCCTTGGGTCCCCAAATAATGTCTTCAATCCATGCACCAACTGACCAACACACACTGCAACCTGTACACTAACAATCCCGTATACTTGTGTTGAAAGAAACTTTATTATCTTGTTTAAACACATCTAATGTTGACGTCAGTGATAACAGTGTTAGGGTTAGTGTCGGCGTTAGTGTTAGTGATAAATTGACTGTTTTTGACAAGGACTCAATGAACAGCCATAAGTATGCTATAATACAAATAAAAAACAATAAGTGACAGACGTATTCGATACAATAAAAATACAGCAATCCTCACAGCCTATCGGACAATATATGGATAAACATAATCATTTCAATTCTAGAATTCCTACCTGATAATCATTTAGTAATATAACCAGAAAATAGTAAAACCTATAAGCTATAATTTCTGCAGTCGCGCAGAATCCTCCCTAATAAGCAAAGCGCAACAAGCGTCTACCTCGTGGCAAGGAAAGTTCTAGAAGGCCGTAAAGCGCGGGGGAATAAGTGACTATTACGTCACAGTAAAATGGGCAATGTAAACTCACAAAGCGCGACCAACTTAAGGTGCTTAAAGTGAAGGACTCAAGGTTCAATTGAATGCATGCAAACATTTCTTACAGGCTGTACTGAAAGAAGTGTTACAGCCTTACAACGCGAAGTCAAAATTGATAGCTCAAACTTATGACGGCGCGGCAGTCATGAGTGGGTCGGTTTATATAAAAGAAGATTTTCCTCATGCGCATTTTTTACATTGTTATGCACACCAATTTGACCCCGTTATTAAAAATATGTGTCTTGATACCCCTCTCGTCCGTATATTTTTTGCAAATGTTTCGGGGTTTTCCTCATTTTTTTCCGTTTCGCCGAAGCGCTCTGACCTCCTTCGCCAGATATGTAGCCGCCGTCTCCCAGCTTGTGCACCAACACGTTGGAACTTCCAATCACGCGTGGTGCAGGGCGTGTCCGAAATTAGGTCTGAGCTCATTGAGTGTTTCAATGGCATTCAGAGCTCTCCGGTTTGGGACGAACGCTCTGTGAGGGAGGCGGCAGGTCTAAAGCGTCTGCTAGAAGATGGTGAGTTTTCATTTTTTTCTCGCTTTTTTCTCCACAATATTCTATCACGTGGATGTATTATACGGCGCATTGCAGTCAAGGCTAATGGATGGAGCGTCTGTGCAGTCGTGTATTTCAGACTTCTGCGATGCTGTATCTCGTATCCGGGAAACAATAAAATACGACGACACATGGAGTGCTTCTTTACGCCGCGGGCAAACAACGCAGCGTTTGATTTTGTCTGCAAAGGAATGCTGTGACATTCTGGTGAATCAAATAGACGATCGTCTGCGCACTGAACACCTTGCCGCGTTCTCTTCGATGAATCCCAAAATTTTTTCAAAATTTGCACGTCAATTTCCCATCCATTTGTTGGCTACTGTCTCCAAATTTTATCCCATGATAAACGTGGGTAAATTGGAAAATGAATTGCGATGTATATACACCAATCAAACTTTTTTGAACATCACATCAACTTGCGCGCTCTATGGGTTCCTCATAGATAACACTCTAGTAACTACCTTTGCGGCGTCTGCAAAATTTCTGGACATCATTTTGACGACGCCTATTTCTTCCGCCGACGCAGAGCGAACATTCAGCACGCTGAAGCGTATTAAAACGTATCTCAGAAACACAATGAAGCAAGATAGATTCAATTCTTTGGCTGTTTTATCCATTCACAGAGACGTTATCTCTGGGATGCATGACTTTAATCAGCGCGTTATTGAGCATTTTGCTTCCAAGAAACCGCGGCGTGTTGCATATATGTTCAAGCAGTAGAAGTCTAGCAGCATATATATCAATGAGTGAGCGACGCATGTCCTTATCTTTGCATTACCTTTCCTTTCTTCATAGTAACGTTTTAAACCTTATTTTAGGTTTTGTCTGCTTTCCCGAAGTTTCTGTTAAT